ACACACACACACACACACACACACACACACACACACACACACACACATATATGTTGCTACAGAGGCATGTTATTGTTATTATTTAAAGGGAGGGGGATTCCCAGAGAGATGGAATCTTACAAAGAAGTGTAAAGTAAGGAAGGCTCCCTGTTTTACTCCTTAAGCAAAGGCAGCTAGATGGGAGGGAGGAAAGAGAACTGGGTTTAGAATAAAGAAATAAGGAAGACTTGAGATCATATCCTTCTGTGTGACCTTCTGCAAATCACTTAATCTGTTTTGCTAAGTTTCCCCAACTGTAAAATGGGGATAACAGCAGCTGCCTCCTAGTAGCTTCCCTCTGAGAATACTCCCACTTTACCCTGTACACACTTTGTTTGTACACAGCTGTTCGCATGCTGTCTCTCCCATTAGACTCTGAAGTCTTTGAAAGCAGGGACTTGTCTTTACCTTTCCTTGTATCCCCAGCGCTTAACACAGTATCTGGCATATCATAGCTTAATAATACTAGCTGACTGACTGACGAACGTGAGAAATTCCTTCTCTGAGGCTCAGTTACCCCGCCATCTCTTTCAGAAAGTTTTCCTGGAGTGTCTTCCCCACTCCCACTTTTAATTGTTCTCTCCCATCTTGCTCCTTGAGAGCAGGGGCAGGAGTTTTTGTTACAGTTTGGTTTGGTTTGGGTTTTTTTGCTTGTGTACTCCAGCGCTGAGCCCCGCGCCCAGCACATACCAGTTTAATAAATGTTTCTCTGACTTAGTAACTTGTTCACCCCACCCCGCTTTTCGGCTCCATCAATCCTTTACCTGAGATGAGGCTTATCTGAGCACATTCATCTACAATAAACTCCCAGAGGGCAGGGGCCCTGTCCCTTTTTATCTTGGTATCACTAGTTAGGGCACAAGTGCCTGGCACACATGGGGCACTTAATGTTGGCTTCTGGAGGAGGGAGGTAAAGGAGATGGAGGAGAAGGAGCAGGGAGAAGGAGGGAGAAGAAAGATAGAAGAGAAGGAGGAGAGAAGACAGAGGGAGGTGGAGGAAGAGGAAGGTGGAGGAGGAAAAGGAGGAAGGAGGAGATAGGTGAAGGAAGAGGGAGGAAGGATAGAGGAGGAGGAGGTGGAGAAGGAAGGACAGAACAGGAGAAGAAGGGAGGACGGAGCGGGGAGGTGGAGGAGGAGCACGGAAAAGAAGGGAGGACTTAAGAGAGAGTTGGAGGAGGAGGAGGAGGAGGAGGAGGGAGGTGGAAGATGGGGGTGGAGAAGGGACAAGAAGGAGGAGAAAGAGGAGGAGGGGGAGAGGACGGAGGAGGTGGGAGATGGAGAGAGCACAGAGGAGAGGGAGGGAAGGGGACCCCTGCGAGGCGGGGCAGGGCAGGGGGCAGCTCAGAGAAGGGGCAGCCCGGCCAGGGCAGGACGTGGCGCTCCGGGGAGGGGGGCGGGATCCGGGCCGGACGGGGGGCCAGGGCGCCTAGAGCACCTGCCGCCCGCCCGAGAGCCCAGCGAGAGAACGCATAGAGGAGAGCCCCTGGCCCCCTCCCCCCTCGTCCCCTCCTCCTCTCCCTACCCCTCCACTCACCGCGCCGGTTCATGGGCCGGATCCGCACGGCCACTTTCACTTTGGAGTCCCCCATTCTCCGCGCCGCCGCAGCCAGCGCTCCCGCTCGGCTTCCGTCTCCAGCAACTAGGGCAAATTGCCGGGGCTGACCAGAGAGGAGGGGGCCCAAGGGAGAGAGGGAGGGTGAGGAGGCGGGGCCAGGCCGGCCGGAGGGCGGGGCTTTGCCTGTCACCTGATCTGGGCACCCAAGAGTACCGGCCTTATTCCCGTAGCATGCCGGGAATTGTAGTCTCCTCGACCTAGCCTGGGAGAAGTGGGGCGGGAAACCTGTTTTTGCCTTCTGAAATTTAAGAGTATTAACACAATGGTGTGTTAATAAATGTTTAATGGTCGATTCTCCAAGGGGAAAAAAATGTACGCACGAAACACTTTTAAAATTTAATCTGCATCATTAGTATTTTCTCCATCACTTTTTAAAGTGTTGCAGACCAATCGACACTTTAAGCAATAAATCCAGCCCTGATTTGTACCGTTTACACAACAGCTCACACTGAAAATTCAACCATCAGCTCTCAAGGGCCACTATGAAGTACACCCACGCTTTAGCACTAGGAGGAATCTTAGAGGTCATCTAATCCAAGCTTCATGAGGACCTTAAATATTCCATTTCAATAATATTATATACCATAATTTGTTCAATCATTTTCCTCTCATTGGACATTTAACTTGTTTCTTCCAAGTTGTTTTTTTCCCCATTACAAATAATGCTGCTGGAACCTGGAGAACATTTTACACAGTAATGGCAACATCGTCCCATGACCAACTTTGATAGACTTAGCTCTTCTCAGCAATACAATGACCCAAGACGATTCCAAAAAGACTCGTGATGGAAAATGCTATGCACAACCAGAGAAAGAACCATGAAGTCTGAATGCAGATCGAAGCGTACTGTTTTCACTTTTTTTTGTTTTTTGTTTTTTCTTTCTCGTGGTTTTTCTATTTTGTTCTGATTCTTCTTTCACAACATGACTAATGTGGAAATGTGTTTAACTTGATTGTACATGTACAACCTATATCAGATGGCCTGCTGTCTTGGGGAGGGGAAAGGAAAGGGAATGAGGGAGAAAATTGGGAACTCAAAATCTTACACATATGGATGTTTAAAACTATCTTTACATGTAATTGGGAAAAAATAAAATACTTTTACGTACAAAAAAAAAGGCTGCTCGCTAAAATTACACAAGAAGCAGGAAATTGGAAAAGAATCTTTTCAGTAAGTTTCACTGATAAAGGTCTCATTTCTAATATATAAACTGAAGAGATTCAGATTTATAAGAATAACATTTATTCCCAAAATGATAAATGGTCAAATTATATGAATAGGCAGTTTTCAGAGGAATACAAATTATCAATAGCCACATAAGAAAAAGTTCTAAATCACTAATAATTAGAGAAATGCAAATTAAAACAACTCTGAGATACCAAAAATGACAAATGCTGGAGGAGTCATGGGAAAACAGGTGCATTAATGCACTACTGGTGAAAGTGTGAACTCCTCTAGCCATTCTGGAAAACAATTTGGAACTATGCCCAAAAAGCTATTAAACTGAACATATCCTTCGATACAACTACTAGGGCTATACCTCATGGAGATCAAAGAAAGAGGCAAAGGACTCATTTGTACAAAAATATTTATAGTAGCTCTTTTCACTATGGCAAAGAATTAGAAACTAGGTGGGTGCCCATTAATTGGGAAATGACTGAACAAATTATATGTATTATGTGATGGAATGCTATTGTGCTGCAAGAAATTGTCAAGGAAATAGTTTTAGAAAAACCTGGGAAGACTTGTATGAACAGATGCAAAGTAAAGAGAGCAAAACCAGAACATTTTATACTATGCCACAATACCGTAAAGACAAATAACTGAAAGACTAAGGAACTCTGTTCAATACAATGGAACCAGCTACAGTTCCAGGGGTCTCATTATGAAATATGCCCAGATAGAGAGGTTATAGATTGAAGCTTTTTTCTTTTTTTTTTCTTTTTTCTTTTTTCAGGCAAGGCTAATTCTGGAGTTTGGTTTGTGTGACCATACATATTTGTAAAGGTTGTGCTTTACTGCTTTCTCAATAGGTGGGGGAGGGAGAAAATTCAGAACTGAAAATGAAATAAAATTGAATTTAAAAATGTTTCTATAAATAAATATTTTTTAATTCTTAGCTCATTTTTCCTTTCTGTTATACCTCACTACCATGTTCCCAAAAATGGAATTATCAATTAGAAGTGTATGATTGGTTCAATGATTTTTCCAATATATACCATGTCCCAAAAGTCTTAGTGCGGTTTTAAGCACTAAGATTGTTGGGACACCCCATGTTGCCAAATTACTTTCCCAAAAGATTCCATTTGCAATTCCACTAGCTATATATGAATGTAGCTACATGTTCATCCATAGTCTATCAGCAATGAACTTTGTCTTTCATTTGCATTTCCTTTGACATTGTTTGGCATGTTTTCAAATGATTGTTCATAATTTACTTTCTTTCACAAATTGTTCATGTTCTTTGACTATTTGTGCATTGAACATTAATCTTGAATCATTTTCATAGTTATTGACAAATTTTAAGTGTCTAGTAGAATGTAAACTCACTAAAAGCCAAAGCTGCTATACTTTTGTCCACATTGCCTTGCATGGTTCTTAATGTTTGTTTAATTGATTGAATGTCAAATTGTTATCTTTTTGCCATATTTCTAAATCTATTTTCTTTTTCTTTTGATATTTGGGGGGTGGTGTACAGAATTTTATAGTAAGTCAACAAGCATTTATTATTTACCAACATCTATGCTGGGGATACAAACAAAGGCCAAAAAAAAAAACCAGTCCCTATTCTCAGGGAACTCAGAGTCTGATGGGGGAGACAACATGCAAACAATTATGTATAAACAAGATATATACAGGATAAATTGGGGGTAGTATGAGAGGAAAGACACCAGCATAGAGGGGAATAGGGAAGGGCTTCCTGTAGAAGAATTTTTGGTTGGAACTTGAAGGAAGCTAAGAGACAGAGACAAGAAGGAAGAGGATTCTAGGGGCAGCTAGGTGGTGCAGTGGATAGAGCACCGACCCTGAAGTCAGGAGGACCTGAGTTCAAATTCGGCCTCAGACCAAACACTTGACACTTACTAGCTGTGTGACCCTAGGCAAATCACTTAACCCCAACTGCCTAAGCCAAAAAAAAAAAGAGGATTCCAGGCATGGCGAACAGCTAGTGAAAATTCCCAGAGACTGGAGATGGAGTGTCTTGTGTAAAAAATATACTTCTAGGGGGCAGCTCGGTGGTGTAATGGTTAGAGCACTGGCCATAAAGTCAAGAGGACCTGAGTTCAAATCTGACCTCAGACACGACACTTATTAGCTGTGTGACCATGGGCAAGTCACTTAACCCCGTTTCCTAGCCAAAAAGTATATATATATATACATACGCTCTCATTGAGCATATCCATGTGGTTCTTAACAATATCTTCTGCTTAATAGATTTAAAATATTTCTCCTCCACAAATGACATATACTATCTTTTTGCTTCTACCTTTTTAAAAGTATTTTTGGTAATGTTTAAGTCTATTATCCAGCTGAAATTTATCATGACATGGTATAGGATGTGGAATATTAACTCAATTGTTATTTCATTTTCTAATAAATTTATTTCTGCTCTTAATTTTATCCCTATTTTTTAAAACTTTCATTTGGTCTATTACATTGTTCCTTTTCTAGTGTCTTTAAGTGCAGACTTAATTAATGTACTTTCTTCCTTTCATTAATAATGTAGGTGTTCAACATTATGCATTTGCCTCTCAAATTGCTTTGGCTGCATCCCATAGATTTTGGCATGTGGCATTTGTGTCCTTATCATCTTTTAAATATATTGTTATTTTTCTCATTTATCCTTTAACCTAATTATTTGGTAGCTTGTCAGGTTTTTTCCATGTAACTCATCTTTTACTCATATTATTGTCATTTAGTTTGAATTTTGTTACATTATAAACTAAAAATACATGTACAATCTCTACCTTTTTTAGTTGCCAAATGTTTTTCTCTGACCAAGCATATAATCAGTTTTTCTGAGTCCCATATGAACTTGAAAAAACTTTTGTATTCCCTGCTTCTTCTACTTAGTTCTTTCCAAATAGCTATTATTTCTGGCTTATTTAAAAAAGCATTCAAGACCTAATCTTTCTTTATTGTTCGTATATTTACTAGACTTGTGGTTCCTGATAATGAAACATTGACATCCCTTACTATGCTTACATTTTTGTCTTTCTTCTTGCATTACTATTAACCTTTCTTTAATAAATATAACTGTCAAATTGATTGGTGTGTATAAATTAAGAATAAATTATTTATTAGTTAATCCTTTTACCATATAATGCCTTTATCTGTCTCTCTTGACATTTTCTCATTTGAATTCAATTTTTTCTGACACCATTACTACCACTCTTGATTTTTTAAACTTTCAATTGTATGTTACTTTTAAAAAGAAATTCTTAATTTTAAGCTACCTTTATGTCTAATATCTCTTTCTATGAAATGGGTGTTTCTTGTTCAGTTCTGTAATTCTTTTTCTTCTAGTGGGAGAATTCAAACCATTTGCATATGTTTGATTTTAATTTGATTGATTTTTTTAATTTGATTTGTTTTTCTAGCATTTCTTTTCCATCCTATCCATACTTCTTATGTGCATGTTTGGCATTATCTACAAAGAATAAAGTCTGTACTAAACTTCTACAAATACTTCTGCTATTAAAACCAATTAATGAACCAAATTACAATTCTGTCTGTCAAACTGCCAATTCTTTATAATTGCCTTTGAGATTTGATCCTCTTTTTGTTAGTGAAGGGGGCACTGACTTATGTTTAAAAGGAGGGGCAAAAAAATTAGGTGTAGCTGAAGGAAAAAGGGATAAAGGTCATTAGCTTCACCCTTTCCCTCCATGGTGACTAAGTGAACCTCCAGAGTAATCTAAATGGCTCCATCACTGGTGCCAGGTCTTTGATGAGATTTAAAAGGCATTTACTCATCCAAACTGAAATTCCGAGTATGTCTGGGCAAATTATTAGGGAGACCCAATT